ATTATTAGCAATGTTCTTCCGACGTCTGATTTCTTTTTAAAAAATGCATTTCTAAAGTGCATAAACTTTTGGGATTGACTGTATAGCCAGTACATCGTTAAATATTCATGACTGAGTCACGAAGTTCTGACATTTAGATATGTGAATGTAAAACATAGCCAATTATAAATTTTCGTGTTAATCCTGAGTATTCGTAAAAAGAAGATAATATAATGACTAAGTAGGACTAAGTAACTAGTATTCGACTAGGAAATGTATAAAATGGCGTGGAAGTACGTTTCCGGTTTTGAATGTGTTAAAAGGAAAAGACCTCGCGATTGTTAGTCCAACCGAGATGATTGCTTTGCCCAGACGCATCAAGTGTTGCACTTGAAACCGTCACTGCGCTATGGCACTGAATCTATTAATAACTTAGGCGTAGATTACGGTCGCAGTATGTATAGACCTCGGTTACGCATGCGTACACAACAGCTGTTTCAGAACTCGGGTATGAAACAACATAGATTTATAATTCGCTTCACCATTTCCTTCATTTCGCTTCACGCTATTTATGGAAAATTATGTTATTTCATATTGAATCGTAGACACCAATAAGTTTATTAATAGGCGTTTTGATAATATCCTGCTCAACTGGTTAACATCATAATCCTCGGACCTTTGGCTCTAGCCAAACCAGTAAAAAGTTTCCTTGCGCCTCATTTATTTAGCTCGGTTTCTGTAAGTCTTCGTTACGGTGTCATATTATTTCATTGGTCTGATATTATTTTACTGGCCTCATTTCGTTCTATACGTGGGTGGAAAATGGTAGTACAATCGGGCAGGGGGATGATTCTACGTTAAAAAAGAAGAAAATACTTTGGTATAACATTTCTTCAATCGGAGCTCCGTTTTCGTGAAAATCGACTTCAAAGTCTGTTCAACTTACAAACATTTCAATTTGCTTGTCGTGTATTCCACTGCTATGTTTGTCTCACAGTTCGGTTTACTATAAGAGTCATAGTTTATCAAACTGCGTAATAATCTTTGAAGTCGATTTTCACGAAAATGGAGCTCCGGATGAAAAAATGTTATACCAAAATAGTTTCTTCTTTTTTAACGTAGAATCATCCCGTGCCCGGTTGTACTAAGATTTCCGGCCCATTCTGTATTAAAGGACTAACAAAAGAAGATGCTTATGAAGATAAGAACGATGTATCGGTTTAGTTAATAAAAAGAAGAAGATAATATAATAACATTACTATTGCTACATTCACGATCGATAGGATAAATTGACGTTAGGGATTAGACTCTGAACTGCACTTAGGTCGTACACGTCGAACTGTTTAATTGAATGGCTTGTAAATTCTAATTAGATATTTTAGTTTGATGGTCTGCTCAACTACTCGCGATGAATTACTTCGGTTCGCTACGTCATGGAAAGTTAAAGTTTGATTTTACGTCTCAGGTTTAACTGATAATACGGGTCTCGTGGGACAGACTTGAATTGCGCTTGGCGATCCGAAAGGATCTAAACGCGAACTAGCTACATTACGTAATCGTTGAATTCTGTCCCATCGCGTGTCTCAGCTTCTTCCGTCAATGAAAAAACGATGTCTCAAGGTTCGCACGCAGATGCTGTATTGCTGGTCGGATGCAAAGAGCGAGGAGTCATTAAGAACCGCCTGAGACGAGAGACTTGGTGGTACCGTCTCACCCAACACGTGACGATCTTTCAAAATAATGCGAAACATATTTGGATTCCCAAGTCTCTCGATTTGTTTCTCGAAAAGTTTTTCACTCATATTATAAATTTAATTATATCCACGTGAGACCACGTGCGAAGTGGACTAGTGGCGAGCAACTCAAAACGATTCCCGACCTACTTTGTTTGTGCTCCCGCGGGGACTCGTACTTCGTTCCGTACTGTGCGTTGCCCGTATGTCAAAATCTATTTAATTTTTAACGCACTTGGCATCCACACATGCAAAACAGTACTTTGTGCACCAAGAGCTGAAAATGGGTGTTTCCGGGCGAGGCTCATGTTTGAACACCAGTGGTAGTCGAGGGCGCCCGAGACGAACACGAGCTGCTCAGAACATCATCCGATTATATATAGCATATTCATAGATATGTGTAGCATATATGTAGTATATATGTATGTACATACACAACATATATGTAGACATATACAGCATATATGTACATTGATATGTACAGCACATGTTCGTCAGAGGGTTAGAAATCAAATTGCATTTCACCGCACGTAAGCTCGATTTTACAACCGTAGGGCGGGAAAACTATTTTCGGTCCACTTTATAGGCGCCGAAAATGTTGTTCTTCGGCCTCGTGTTATAAAAATTTAATTTTGTGTGTCAAAAATTGAATAGAGTTAGACATACCGGCAACGCAGAGTACGGAACAAAGTACGAGTCCCCGCGGCAGCACAAACAAAGTAGGTCGGGAATCGTTTTGAGTTGCTCGCCACTAGTCCACTTTGCACGTGGTCTCACGTGGTTGCGTCTGACTCGAAAGTATAAACAGTATTAGATATTAAAAGTAAGCGCTCGATTCTCTATCATCTACTCTATTTACCTACTTTTCCTCTATCGTGCTGCAAGTTTACATTCTACTTACAGATTCAATGAATTTTGTTTTTCGCTTTAAATCTGTAAACATGAACGCGTTACGATTAGACGGAAATAGCGTACAGAAATCAGCTTTTTATAATTCGCATACTTCATTATTTCGTGTTTGTTACAGCAATCCACGTGCGTCGCGGAACATGGCAGAGAAGCAACGCCGCGATAATCTCAACACGAACATCTCGGCGATGGCTGCACTTGTACCCATCATCGCCGAGAGTCCGAGGAAAATGGACAAAATATCCATCCTGAGGCTGGCTGCCGCTTTTCTCAGAGCTCATTACAGTGAGTGCACAGGATTATTCAATTAGACTCATAGAATAATATGAACCGTTCATTATGCAACTGAGGTAACTCCAATTTCACGGTACCTCGGCTTCTAATTAACTAGAAATTAATTTACCGTATGAATTTTATGAATTATTCTTAAATTGATTATAAACGTGAGACAACTTTTAATTGTACAGTAAAACGTGTTTTATTTGTAATAAATCTGTAACATGTTGAAATATCGAACTGACTGTGATGCCAATTTATCATCTATAAAAGTACTACAAACCAATTTTCGGATTTTTCGAGAGTCTTCGCTTAAGGGGATGAAATGGAGCGAAATGTATTTTTACAAATTCCCTTGTTTTTTATTTTCTATCTAGCATCACGGATAGTTTGCTCCAGTACACACACTCACAATCTTCATTTCTGTTTTTTATAAATATGTAAACTCTGTTTCAGCGCTCGGCCATGGCACAGCTGACTTTCTACCTCGAGAACTCGCCGACCTGGACTTGGAACAATATATCGTCGACGTGAGTACTTGTAAATCGATCTCTCTACTTTTTTCATCGTTGCTCCAAGTTCATATTGCTGCACACGTTTAAATTGTTTTTGTTAACCGTAACAGAACTTGATCGACAGCGGGGGCTTCTTCATCGTCGTTACCACCGCCGGGAAAATAGTCTACGTCAGCCGGCAAGTTCAAGAGCACCTTGGACATACTCAAGTAAGTTTTTCATATGACTATTTTATGAACGAGTTTTATGGTCCTCAAACGAATTGAATTTGCATTTAAAATGCTGATAAAAATTATTTTTAAACGATTGCTACTATTTATATCAGATGTATTAGTTAAAAATTGTATTTCTGCCGGAGTGAATCGTAAACAGATAGCAGAGGAACTTTGGATTTGTCGTACTTTTACTAGAATCATTTTCCTCTTTAGATTTTGATACTGTACATCGAATATGTGTATGTATATGTATGTAAATAGCTCGTTCATCTTCGGTTTTCCACTACGCTTTTAACCACTTCAATATATCCTAACTCCCTTTCTTGAAAAGTTCTTGTCCTTAAACTTTCTAGATGATCTATTTTTTATGTCCTTTAAAAGTTAAGTTCTGGTTGCTATCCTTTTAAACTTTGCCCTTGCCTAAAGCTACTTAATCTAAAGAACGTTTTTACTGAGATAAACGCACGCGTGGCTCACTTCTCTTTCTGCTTCAACCAAATTTAATTTTAAATTTCATGAATAAATTAATCGTCATTTTTGTTGATTATAAACGATTCGATTTACGTGGATATGTTTTGGGCAATAATCGAGGAACAAAAAATTCAATAACACTGAGAACTCTTGTTCTCTCTTGGAAAAGTGTTCTGAACGTGATTGATAGCTCGATGCGTTCGTAACAAGCAGCGAACTAACGATGCAATTCAACAAACCAGTGTATAAAAGACATTTGTTAAAAGAACGAACGAACATTTAAAGGTTTTACAAAGTGCTCGTAAACATGCGATTTTACATAAAAATGTACGATCTATGTAAAGAACTCGGATGATACAGTGTTTGATACGCTTGTCAGAGTGTAGGTAAACATCGACGAGGGTGAAAATGTCAGTTATCCTTTTACTGTCCCGTTGCAACATTTTTTGCCTTCTTTTTATGTGCCATTCGTTTTTATTTATTCGTCTATTTTTATTGGCGATGTCGATCTATACGCGACGCCATCGTGATGCGAACTCGATTTTCAATCGAATTGTTTGCCGCACGTGTTCGCCCTTGGATTATTTGAAACGGAATCCGCAGGATTTAGGTGAACGGTAAATGTTTCCAGGGGCGTATGTAATTTCAAAAGAAAAGACGGAGAAGAAGAATTTTGAAAGACTGTGCCGCGAACACGCGGCAGACTATAACGCGAAGCGAGAAGGAAGAAAAATGCATTCTAAAAGAGAGATTTTTCACGGCACGTGTTCCACCGCTGCACTTTCGTGTACAAGCAAGAAAGTGCTTGCGATTCGAACGGCACGTGCAGTCGGTTATTTTTTTTTTTTAAATCGTTCGAACAATCGTTCTCTTTCTCCGCGGTTCGTGTAATTAATCTGTAACCGGGTGGCGTTTTTTATTCCAGCGTAATCTTTATCGTGACAAAGATAATGATTCGCGTGCGGATGACAAAAACAGCAATCAAACAGCTTCGTTATAGCTTTTACTGCGGAATAAAAGTAACGTTAAACCGCGATTCAATTCGCTTATATGTATTGGTTTTACAGATAAAACGATTGAAACGGTTAATATTAGATGTATCAGTTTTATTAAAACTATTTTGTTCCGCGGCAGCATTTAAAGAAGTACACTAGCAATTATCTTATAATAGAAAGATCAGTATTAATTTTGTTCAAATTTTCGCGAGATCAAATATTATTAAAGTTACGGATGGAATATCCCAACGACTTCGTTATTAACTTCATAACTCGCTCCCCTAAGTCGTGGGACCTTTAGAGAATAACGAATAAAGTTCTCGTTGAAAAGTTGAGATTGCAACATTCTGATAATTAAGGAAACTCCGGATTGAGGATATTTCTTAAAACATGCCCCTTCTATCTCTCTTTTTTTCTGGAGATCATTTATTTTTTATTTAATGCCGTACTGCTGTAGAACGCTGCTATATAACTACGTCTCTTACCTTTAGAGAGAAGATTAAAGTAAAGTTTATTATATCGCCTCAGAGAAATGTTAAAAGATCTCTGCGAATGGCGCAGCTCGAGTTAAAATAATATTAATTAGACCGCAGGTTTTACATCGTACAGAAAAACATATGTATAGAACATCGGAAATAGATTAACAAGAGTATCCAACGTGCGTTTGTTCCATTTAATCATAACAATCCTTATTTTTCATAGAGATTTTATAATAAGAATACGAGAAAATATTAGAAATGAGAACTACTGTGAAAGGAGAGAACGAAAAACTTGTGTTAGAAATATAGAAAATTAGAGAAGATATTAAATGGTCTTTCCTAGAATGGCTGATTCTACTATATAGTTTATTCATTATTCCGACTTGAATCGACTCAAGTTGATCGCGGATGCCAAAATTAGAACCTGTATCGGATGAAAGAGTCCGACAGAGAGATCAATATTCGACAGATGTAAGTAAATCGATCTGTAAGTAGCAAGTAGCCGTTCTTCAATAAATTCTCATTGAAGACCAAAAGTGGCTGCTCTATCGATCCACGTGGGTTCCGCAGGAACCGTCGCGCGTCGCGACGTTCCAGATTCGAGCATAACGATAATTCGACGCTCGAGCGTAACGAACCTGCTTGCTGCTCGGCCGAGTTCCGAGCTTCACGGTCTAAGGATATAGATGGATGGTTCGAAAGAAGGAGACGACGCGCTCGTTGATAGGGCGGCATCGAGGATACCAAGGCACGAGAAGAGCGTATAAAAGAAGTGGACGAAGGTGAAGGCGAAGGGTGAGAAGCAGAGCGAGAGCTTAGAGTTGTTTGCGCGGGTTCCTCCGGGTTTTTTAAGGATATATCCGCAATCAGCCGGTATTGTTCTCAAGGAGAAACTCCCCGCGGTGAAAACGAGCACGACCGCCGATATGGTGCACCACGTTCGCCGCTATTAAATTGCGGCTCCGAAGACGGAATGCAGAAACAGATCTAGAAGGAACGTGTAGATGCGTGGCTCCTCCGTGGGCATGAGGCCTTCGGATGTCGTTGACGCAGCTTAAATTTTTAAATTATCTTTTTCATGCGGACATAGGCTTGCTGTATTTAAAAGTTGTTATGTATTTAATTTAGTTCTATCGATATCGGTCTTTACAGATCACTTTGCAGTGACGTATAAAAAAAATCTAATTACAAAGTATATCTAATTAATTAAAGAATACTTTGTTCCAGGCGGACTTGTTAGGCCATGCTCTTGAAGCTTTCGTGCACCCCGAGGACATCGACGAACTGACGAAGAATTTGACACCAGACGAGATGCAGATGCAAGGAATGGTATCCTCGTCGTTACCGCAAATCACCGACGGCACGCACGATAATTCAAATTCGTCGGAAGAATCTTCCGCGTCTCCAAGCAACGAGAGGAGGCCGTTCCGAGAGCAGAGGCGGAATTTCGAGCTCCGATTGCTGCACCGTACCGCTTCCAGACGCGAACACACCCAGTACGAATGGTTCGAGATCTCCGGGATGCTCAGGCTCGCGGACGCGTGCAGAAATTCCGAGCTGAACGCCAATCGGGCGAATCGTCGAGGTGAGTGGTATAAACTGGAAGAAATCTTTTCAGCTTTGCGTTCAGACGGAATTAAACCAAATTCAATAAATCGCAAGACGATCCGATTTACACTGGGTATTGAATATTATACATTAAACGTCTGCATCATATGTTACAGATGTTGCTACTATAACGGGCAACGACATTGTCTTTGTGGGTGTAGCACGGTTACTGATGAGAAGACCCATTACCAAGATATCGATCATAGACGCCAACAAGGACGAGTATATCACACGACATTTGGTGGATGGCAGGATAATCTACTGCGACCACAGGATATCGGTGGTAGCTGGTTACTTGTCAGAGGAGGTCTCTGGTATAAGCGCATTCCATTTCATGCACAAGAAGGATCGTATCTGGGCGATGGCCGCGCTCCGTCAAAGTGAGTATGATCAGGAATATATGATAGGATAATTTTGTATGCACTAATCTAATATTATATTATTTATAGATGTGGATCATATTATTAATTGTCCGAATAAATGTTTGTTCGTAGTGTACGACAACGCGGAAACTTGTGCCTCCTCTTGCTACAGGCTAACGTCCAAAACCGGGGAGTCGATCTATCTCCGCACCCACGGCTATTTGGAAATCGACAAGGATTCGCAAATTGCAGTATCTCTCGTGTGCATAAACACATTAGTGTCGTAAGTAATAGTTTTCACATTTATTGTGCGATCTTTACTTTTCTTCTCTGTTTCTTACGGGGGACGTGTTAATCGTTTTACAGGGAGGAAGAAGGTATAAAATTAATGAAACAGATGAAGAAGAGGTATTCAGCTACCGTATCCGAAACTTTGAAGGTGATGATTCAAAACGAAGATGTAACGTCGCTCGATTTGGTAATTAAATTGAATTTTTTTTATAATACACAATGTTTTTTATGGTATGATCAATCTAAAGTTGTAATTTGGAAGGAATCATATGTGTCTAATTAAATTTTCAGAATGCGGATTCGCCTCAGTCTAGTACGCAAAGTAGTGCGGAAGACACATCGGAACTAGAAGATGCCATCACGTATCTAGTCAGCGATCTGTCATCGCCTCTTCCAGAAGATTGCATGAAAGCGTCACCGGTACTGAACGAGCAGTACATGAAAGCTGCTATGATCTCACAACACTTACCCCCGGCTGCTGCCCAGGCCAGGAAACTCGGTATTCAAGATATCAATCGTTATTTGACGGCTCAGGGCAAAGGGGGACGAAATCAAAAACAGTTGACAGATGCGGACGACAGTACGAGTACGGAGAGACAGGAAAGTTCGAAGACCTCCGGGAAAATAAAGTTACACGAAATATCGAAGAAGACGCAAAATGTACTCGAGCAACATAACGTACAATGCGAACAGCAAGCTTCGCCTCAGCCTAATTGTGTAATTTCTGCGCACGAAGTAATTGGAGAATCGGGTAAAAATAATCCACGGAATCCTGGAACGTCTCGTTACGATGCGTCTCAGAGCAACCTGGCCATGTTAAGCCCTACAGCGAAGAAACCCGTTGTAAACGACGTCAATTCACCTGCATTGTGCGAGAAAAGTCCGTACGATGTTAAAGTCGAGCGTAATAATGTGGATGTTTATAAGCAACAGCAAGAACCTGTGATTGAGTACCTTGAGAAGAACATTACTTCAGAGACGGAGGGCCAACAGTACGCGTTAAAGAGGATATACAGTGATGAAGATATTAGGACGAGTTGCAATAAGAAAAGACACAGGAACGTAGTTTATACTTCGGACTCCAGTGAGGAACAGCAGAACGCTTTGTACGTTGAATGCAAGCCTTTCGTCGGCGAAAACCTTTCGGAACTCTCGGCGGACTTCAATCAGTACAATGCGAATTCGCGATCACTCAAGATCGAATCACCGAGTTCAACTCTGAATGAGATTATCGACGATTATCAGCAGATTGACTCCAGCATACCGCTCATACCATCGAACTCGGAGGATGACGAATTTATCGATCTCCACGACTTGAAGGAAGATACATTGCTGAGTCCTTGCCTTGACACAAACCCAGGTACCAAACCCAGTACAGTGATTATCTTTGCACGCTCCCAAGAAGCGAGCTCTAGCTTTTCTCGTTTACAATATTTTAATGTATATGATTGTATGTTTAATTCTTTTTTATACATTATATCGACCGTAATACGTAAAGATGTCTACATTCCTTATGTTCATCGATTGTTTCATTATTGATACTATACAATTTTCTTTTACAAACTGAACACAAATAAATGTGATCGTGTATTCATGTTGTAATGAATGCTTGAAATCTTTGTTTGCAGAATTAATAATGAAAATATTTGATGACCTAAGGCATGTATCAATTCTTGAAAGTAAGTATATACATATACATCATGCACCCGAAACGAATTATGCAGTACAGTTTTAAATCCCATTTTCTTTCTTTTGTATCATTTCAGATACGTTTCACGAAACAAAAGTACAACTAGCAGACAGCAATGTAAGTTTATATCACAGTACCCGAACAACAGATTCGATTGAACGAAACGAAAATAAATGATTAATTTTGCGACAGGCAATCGATAACGAAATAAGAAGAAAGCATCTTCAACTTATGAATAGTATGGCGCTACAGGAGTCGCAGTTGAACATTTTGGCACGGGACCTGAAAAATCCAGCTTTGCAATCGAGAAGAGGAAGCTTGACGCCGCTACAGGTACAAATAAACGAGATGCAAATTGTAATTAGGCTCGAAACGGATACAATTTATGCATCGCTGTTTTATCGTCATGTTTCAGGTGGAGCATAACATGCAAAAACAAATTCTTGAAACGCTGCAACAAGATCATGTAAATATACAGAGGAACATAAAATACAACATCGGTGTATAAAACTTGACAGGAGAAGAAGAGGCAAAGTGAGACATAAAATATTTCTGACGAGTTATTTCTTTGAAAAAGGAAAAATTCTACCGAGTAGTTGTTCCTGAAAAAAAAAAAAAACGTATATAAATGTGCATATTATTGTATATGAAATATTCCAGTGAAGTTTATTGCAATATCATTCCACCATTGTTATAAAATATACGATTGAAGAAAGGCTATTCGATGGCGACAATCTACAACAATGAAACGAAGTCGATTTATATCGTACTACGATTTAACAAGGAAACAATAATTTGTGTTTATTGTCAGACACGTCTAGTGAAATTATAACTCGGACAAAGAGAATTTCGATGTTTTATCCTTGTCGAGCCACAACGAAACGACATGAAGGATGGTAAAAATATGCAAGATATTCAACATGCTCGATGTACGCTTCACGGACGTACCCACAAACTTTCTGAAAAAGCAGAATTTTATGTACGAACAATTACCTTGTGCTCGATGCAGGCACGAATGAACGCGCAAGGATAACTTCTGGTAATTGATTACGCAGAATACATAAGTGAAAAAATTGTATTGTAAATGGCCGACACGTTTCACAGTTTCCGAAGGTCCAATGTTGCACAGTCTTCAAATTTTATTATATCAAACTTATATGCGTAGCACGGGGGCGAATATTAAATTGGTCCTGCTACTTGATTTAGCTCTCAGGACCAATTTGTGCTCGGTTATTCGTCTTCGGTTAAGAGAACTGAAACTGTTTTCATGTCGAGGTAAATCACGATATTGTACGATATTTACGCATATATCGGATGGATACGGTACCAGTTCTTTTTGAAACGCGGTCGGTGGCAAATCAGTTCACAAGGAAAGACTAATGCAAACGATATTGAGAATTCGATTGAACTCGTACTAATGTAAATGTAAGTTGGCAGTACAAAATTTCTGTGTTTGAACAAAAAATGAGATACGCTTCTGAGAGAGCGCATATTATAAATACATAAAAACAAAATAAGGTATTACATACGTAACCGTACCGAAGTTTTTAATATTGTTACGCGAGGATGACTATAAGTATGTCTCGAGCCTTATCGACTTCTTTCTTTTCGTTTATAAAACGTCTAGACTGCGGATTATTTCTGTGTGCATAAATATGCACTGTTACGTATTTTACGCATCAATTAGTTATTTTTACAAATTTTTTACTTGATGGATTTAAACGTAAAATGACGATTGGGTTTCTACGATGGAATTCTGAGGATTGTTCCATTGTGTAGATAAAAATTAACGTAACATTTCGTACTTTTTTTCAATTATTTTGTTATGGCTGGCTTACAGATTTTACTGGCCTCGTTATCCACCCAATATTATGTTTCTTTATATTACTTTATCTATTATATATATTTAAGCTTTAGTACGTATTCACGAGTAACGCAAACGTTTCATGATTGATTAATACTGTTGCATTAATAGATCATAAAGCCTTCGCGTTTCTCGTGACTCGGTCAGGAACGTTTACGGCGGCACGTGAGAAAGTCACGAATAAGCATAATCAAGCAAACGAAATTTGCTACTGAATGTAAATTAAAGAAAAATATGAAAATATACAGAATGAAAATATGCGCAGGAAAGGATTACATAGGTGCACCCACGAATATATTCTTCATAACGATTAATAGATATATATATATCGTTTAGTTCCATTTTCCTATGTACAAATAAGGCTGATAAATTGTAAATAAGAATTTCGATCGTTTTTAGCGATCGATATCACCGATGAAGGAAATCATCGTTTTTCTTTTTTTCTTCTCTTTTCATGTATTCTTCATCGTTCATTTATGTATATTGTACCTACGTATGTACATCGATTTGTGCAACGCTGTTACCCCGAAATATACTAAAGAGTTTTTCATGTTTCCGTTTCACTTATACGAGTGGGACGCGATAGATCAGTAAGAATCCGGAGTCGTTACGAGTATTTTTAGAAAAACGATGTTTCGATATACAAGCAAACCCTCTTACCCTTCTTTGGACATGAATTCTCGTTCTAACAATACAGCACTATCAAGCATAATTATGTCAATACAACGGCATTCATATTAAACAGAATACCATTTCGAAGTGAATGAAGAACCACTTGACTTTTGTATGTACACGTGCGGATTATCAAGTTGCAAAAAATATAAGAGGATTGCTTGCGTATACTGATGTGTATGCGTTCATGCTCATTGTAAAAATGATTGTTAACTCGTTTTTATGTTATTGATATCGATGCCAGGTGTGTTGAGGTCGATCGTCGATGTTACATACGTTTTTAAACTATATCACCAGTCCGCAAAACCTTTCCGGGAGCGACCAACTATTTTTGTTAAACTTGTACATAAACACTCACTTGTTATTGTTATTGGAACTCTTATTCAGATTCTTGTTTACTCTTGTTGCAAAGAATTTTGCTGGATTATACTTTTAAATCAACATTTGAAACAATTGCCCTCTTAATAAATAATTTTAATTTTTATTATTGTTACATTAAAATTGTAAATAAGAATTTCGATCGTTTTTAGCGATCGATATCACCGATGAAGGAAATCATCGTTTTTCTTTTTTTCTTCTCTTTTCATGTATTCTTCATCGTTCATTTATGTATATTGTACCTACGTATGTACATCGATTTGTGCAACGCTGTTACCCCGAAATATACTAAAGAGTTTTTCATGTTTCCGTTTCACTTATACGAGTGGGACGCGATAGATCAGTAAGAATCCGGAGTCGTTACGAGTATTTTTAGAAAAACGATGTTTCGATATACAAGCAAACCCTCTTACCCTTCTTTGGACATGAATTCTCGTTCTAACAATACAGCACTATCAAGCATAATTATGTCAATACAACGGCATTCATATTAAACAGAATACCATTTCGAAGTGAATGAAGAACCACTTGACTTTTGTATGTACACGTGCGGATTATCAAGTTGCAAAAAATATAAGAGGATTGCTTGCGTATACTGATGTGTATGCGTTCATGCTCATTGTAAAAATGATTGTTAACTCGTTTTTATGTTATTGATATCGATGCCAGGTGTGTTGAGGTCGATCGTCGATGTTACATACGTTTTTAAACTATATCACCAGTCCGCAAAACCTTTCCGGGAGCGACCAACTATTTTTGTTAAACTTGTACATAAACACTCACTTGTTATTGTTATTGGAACTCTTATTCAGATTCTTGTTTACTCTTGTTGCAAAGGATTTTGCTGGATTATACTTTTAAATCAACATTTGAAACAATTGCCCTCTTAATAAATAATTTTAATTTTTATTATTGTTACATTAAAAGTATTGAGGGTGCGATTATCTGGAATTATGTTCTTTGCCTGACTGGTGATATATACAATAAATGTATGATTCATTGAGAAATCGTACTCATTTTTATCGTAGGAGAGCGTTCGACCAACCTCGCCTCATCCTTATTGGCATCGATGAATGGTCCTAACTTTTTTACAGTTTCATACTGTTTGGACGTACACAAACGATCCTACGTATCCCATACGTAATCCGTGTAAATATTCGGGGCGGGGAGAGAGCGTTTAGTTTAAGCGAACGGCAGACTTACCGATACGTCATGATCGTTAATAGTACAAAAAGCAAGTTTACAGTGTCTGTGTTTAGTGTCATTGTTTGAAACCCTTTCGAACCGATCGACACACGATTGTTTTACGATTCCTCGATTTTATCATCCGTGCTCACGTTTTATATACATGTCTCAAAATTAGGGATGAAACCTCTTACTATTTGAACGGATTGCCAATTTGATCGAGATACGTGGTATATCTTATATACTGTCTTGTTAATTAAATATATTGTAATACGTGTATGTGATTTTCGAGTGCGCATCGAAGCTTCGTAACAAGATACCAGTACAATGATCTGTAATTGTCCATTAACTCGGTCGGATCGGGAACGTTGATAAAACGTTTCCCTATCGCAGACAGAGTAAGAAATGTGATGGGCATGCGACGCGGAAAACAGACGGCACTACAAAATTCGCTAGAATCGTTTAATCTTACGGTGAACTGTAAATACTGTCTATATTATATTTTATACTCTGCTGTTTGCACATAAAGTGATTTCTACAATTTGTTTCCACGAATTGAAACGTAACAGCGCAACGGGGCGATACGAATCGCTTGTTGCGTCCGTCTCACCCCTTCTTGTACATTTCTACTGTGTATCTTTACAGCATAGCGGAATCAAGTATTTTCAAATCATTATAAGGTTTAAATCACGAGAATTGATTTCGCGTTTCTCTACATGAACCCGCCTCTTCGTTGTCTTGCTTGTTTCGCGAAAAATTGCAGAAACGGGAATACAGTTTAATCGCACGTGTTCTCGTGTAAAGGAAAATATGTAATATTTCAAAATATATGATGGCAGTATTACGCTTTTGCGTAAGGCAACCGCATAGTAATGTACACACACACACACACACACACACACACACACACACACACACACACACACACACACACACATATATATATAGATAGATATATATTGATCATTATTTTTTAGGGACTACCGAGTGTTAAAAATCTCTACCGATACATAAATATGAGTCGTTTTCAATACTTTATTACATTCTCATAAAATAACGATAATAATAATAATTGAAAACTACGTGTTTACTGCTGAGAAATTGCTCCTCTTGAAAAATGAATTGGACGCCTCAGAACGGACGAACGATGTATAAAGACGGAACGACACATATATGAAATTGCAGATCTGCGTGTACAGAATAGATATTAGATCGAGCAGGCATCCTTTGTACAGCGATTTTAACTTTTAACCGTCAGTGCATTCGAAAACACTTGTTGAGAACTGTGCTGTGTAAATTTTACCGTAGTTGTTAAGAGACAGGCGACACGTACCACGCGAACATACATATACACACGGTCACTGATTTGCAATTTTACGAGCTTCTCTGAAGAGAAACACGCCTTCGGATCGAGAAACGTTTCTACACTTTGCGCCGTGATCGCATAATATGTACACCCGTTCACCGATATAAGTTAAGTTTTTAATTGCAGTCACTGTATATTTTTCGTATCTTTAAGTGAATATTTAAGAGGTTCATGGATACCCCCTGAATATTTTTGTATTAATTTTATATCCAGTTTATATGTATATATAATAATCTATATATCGATGCGTGTGCGTATGTGCTCAGCCGAAGTAATGTTAAGTATCGACGGAGAAACGTCGCCAGAACAAAGTGTAGGAGTTTTCGTAACGTCGGAGGTGCGTGTCTCTTCGTAGATCGCCAAAGAATCGATAGAAGTAAAAACCGAATTCCGTTCCTCTGTTCTTCCAAAACCAAAACCGAGAGAAACAATTGATATTAACACATGGACAATGAGGAGGAACAGGTGGAGGAAGGGGATGAGAATTCATGCAGAAATTTATAAAAATGTTTACAGTGTCGCGGTGCTCGGATCGGTACAGAACTTGGAACGAAGAAATCGATCGTCTTAAATTATATCTAGGCAGAATACTAAATTTTCGAGTGATCCGCCTCAAATTTATTTCACTTCACTTTCGTTCTTAATCGATGAAAAACGAACGATACGAAATTGTTAGAATTTTTTTATTTTATTATCCTACGTATACGCGTTTCATAAAATACGTTCTGGACTATTGTTTATTTTTTCTTTCTTTTTGGTACATCGAATACGTGGAAATGATGAAAAATTTATGAAGTCGGGCATAAATATCGGGAAGAAAAACGGAGATAAATTCTTAAAACGTAATCAATGAGGAAATATTATAATATGATTGGGATCACGTACACGTATAAACTTGTGTCAAGACTGAATTATCAAGACTTCGTAGGAGGTGGAACATTTTTGTAAATAATACTGCCTGAAAGAAAATATATATATATGTATGTAGAAATTATGTGAAAAAAATTACAAAAATGATTGCAATCCTCACTTTAAATATGTATTTTACTCCTCACGTCCTGTCTGTTTCATGAGGTCGTTAACGCGTTCGATATTTAATTGTTTCGACGATGAGAAAAGGAAATATATCGGTAAAGTAATAAAAAATATTTAAAATTACGAGTATTCGTGTTTATTGTGCGTTTCTTCAAATAACCAGGCATCCTGCGAGGACAATAACTACACACATACTACCAAACAGTAGCAATAGCCATATAATGTAAATTACATAGACTACTCTTCTATCTGGCATGTGCAACGAAATATTTCGTTTTTTTTTCAAATACTCCTAAACCGTCGGACTTTCGAGAAAATTACATAGGAGGATCTTATTTGTAGCTGACCTGCAAGGAAGGTCGCATGCAATTTCCTTCTAACTCCAGTATTTAACGAGTTAAGTACGATTAATCGGCATTTTAAACGGTGATCCAGTTTCTTGGAGAAAACCGTCTAAAACAGTGAGTCGAAAATCGACGCGCGAAAAGGACAACAATCAGCAGCGCCGAGAAAATACTCTTCTATCTGGCATGTGCAACGAAATATTTCGTTTTTTTTTCAAATACTCCTAAACCGTCGGACTTTCGAGAAAATTACATAGGAGGATCTTATTTGTAGCTGACCTGCAAGGAAGGTCGCATGCAATTTCCTTCTAACTCCAGTATTTAACGAGTTAAGTACGATTAATCGGCATTTTAAACGGTGATCCAGTTTCTTGGAGAAAACCGTCTAAAACAGTGAGTCGAAAATCGACGCGCGAAAAGGACAACAATCAGCAGCGCCGAGAAAATAATGCTTATCTTCGCACGACGATATCTCCGGAACCAGAAGTCAGATCGAGATGAATCCGACGGCATTTTAAACAAAAGGCTTTTCGGCTTCGAATATCCGAAGTTACACCCGTATAGTGCAACGTTATCGATTATTTAAAAAAAAAAATGTAAAGGGGAAGGAAATACAAAATTTCATTTGTTTTTATGCGTAAATCACAATAGGCCTCCCTACACGATTTATCGGTCGCGAATCAAGTCTGCAAATAAAATGAACAGATTTAATATATAATGGAGTTCTAGCATTATTAGTCTCTCCGTGTACAGAGGTCTAATGTTTTGGAAGGTAACTGACATAGTCTAAACGTATTTTAGTTGCATCACGCACATTTTTATTCTACTCAACGACTTACGAAAGATTCAGAATAGAGAGATGGGTAAAGATTGTTGATAATAATCAGTTACATATACCGCGAATGATATTAATTTGCACCTGTGTACGATGAGAAAATAATCAGAAAGGCACGATACTCGAGGCGATCTCAATTAAAGGCACGTACAATTGATGACAGACGATGGTATAGAGAGATAGATCGTTGGCGATATAATAAGCACTGCGGCTTGTCTCAATATTTATTCAACACACTGTATAACCGAACGGTTTAATGTCTAGTAATACGTACGTACAGAGACAGAGTTGATCAAATCCCAAGCACGTAATCAGATCGAACGTAAGCGACGCCCCAACGAAACAAGAAGTTTCTCATTAACACTGCATTAATTGACGAATTCATTAATAGATATAATTTAATCCTAAACGACTTCTCTTACGACGTTTTTATTCTCGAACAATATCGTTTTCCCTTTGAACTGCGAGAACGAATCCTTTAGAAGAAATTAATGGATCGTAAGCAGAACTTTTTAACTCTCAAAGCGGTATACAACGGAGCTATGTTACAGTCGCATTCAACTAACGGTGCTAACTAGAAACGTGAAACGAGGCAATGATCGTCAGCGAATTTTATCAGGAAAGAATCAGGGACTGTGCGCAAGATTTATCTTCAGACTCGTCACGATGCATCTTCGATTAGAATCGATACAAATTTTAATAGTCGCGACTTTATTTTATAACATATGTACATCTCTTCGCTCTTTTCAAATTGCATTCCGTCGTTTGGTGCGTGCGATTTGATACGTACTGCGTGAATATCCACGAAACGCCGCAACACGGTACAGTTATCATTACTAAACTGCGGATTTTACGCGTTTACCAGGAAAATACGAACGTCGCACGTAACTAATTGATTGCAAACTGCATACTGCAATGTTTCGGTGATGAACAAAATTTCTGGTATAATTTGTTATCTTGCATAAAAATCCGCAGTCTTACTTAATAATGACAGTAATGATGAACAAAGGTACTGAGAGGAGGCCGATGTGTGCGCTTCGATAACGAAATAGTAACCAGCCAATTAAACCTCATTTACATAAATGTATAATAATAATAATAACAATAATAATTAATGTTTGTTTGTGTAGAAAGAAAAGGACTAGTTTCTGAATGCATGAAATAAATCTGACGCGTTTGATGATCGTTTCCTTTTACATGAACAAAACAATTTTTATTTTTCTTTGCTCACAGAAATGCAAGAAAACTCGAAGTTCTGTAATTGAAAAACCGATCGGTCGACGAAACTGTATTTTATAGCCAAATTAATGCGATCCCGTGATTGTAATTTAATTTATACGATGCGCATTGTAGTTATAACGATGTCATACAACAAGGAATAGGAACTTTTAAACAATGCTTTATTCAGTGTTTATAAGTGTAAATTCGATATTAAAATTGTTAATTATTGAAATAAATTCTGTTTAAGAAAAGTAGTAACAAGTGTACGCAAATTAAATAAGGCGCAACACAGGCAGCGCGAATAATTAAATAATTCTGGAAATTGCATCGTTGATTAATTATCAGTAAATAATCATTTATTTTTAAGTAATGTATATGCCAAATAATAACGTAACTTATGGGATCGTCCGACAAGTACATATATACAATAATAAATTCATTGCTTGGGAAAAAGAAAGATCTTTTGGTATAGTCCGTCTACTTAATCGTAAGGGAAAGCAGTAAATGAAAATGGGCAGTTAGACAGTGGACGTAGATCAGTACTGAAATCATTGAGGTAAATCGATTGGCTCTATTATACAGAAAAAAAAAATAATTCGAATGAAACTGTTCGGGTTTCGAATAAATTTTTTAGAATGACTCACGCTATTGTCGCTTTTATCTTCTACGTGTCACTATTTGGATTATTCTTGGTCGAAGGATCGAAAGATTAACGATTAACTCTTATCAGTTACTAATCAATGCGTAGGGTCGAATATGTCTCGCTCAGGATGTTCAAATCATCGCGTTCCATCGTGACAGAAAATGAGTACCTGTAATCAATGATCTTGTACAATAGTGCATGGCGTAAATGGTACGTCAGTGTAATCGGGTAACAGATGAAAATAAGAAAACGAGCGATTTTTAATAAATTAAACGTAATATTATCGATGTTGAAACAACAGACCAGGCTGAATAATAATCGGTCCCGTCGTGACGCTTCCCAAAACTGTTCGGTACAACACGGAACAGATATACATACTACGTACATGCAGATGTAAAGATTTCCGTCAGGAATTTTAGAACGTCTCATAATAAAATGATAATCGAATAATTGAGTCTGTAATTAAACAATTTTTATATGAGATCTTCTTCCGAAGGTCGATTGACTTAAAATTTTTAATAGGAGGAGGAAGAGGTGGGGAATTGTAATCTTTTTTCTTATTAACAAACGATAAATAACAGAGAAAGAAATTTTAGATTAGGGACCCGCTCTTTTTTCTCCAGTTTTCGTAATTCCGAGTCAATCAGCTACGTGAGTCGTTCGAAAGAACAGTCTAAGAAAATTGAAATACTCCACGTTGTTTCAATTGTATACAACGAGATGTCCTAAGATTCTCAGCGGAGATCCTGCGAGTACTAATTCTAATCTACATGTACGTATATGTATATGAATTGGGCGTTTGATTCGCGTCGATCATTCTCTTCTTCCTTTTATATGTATATCTACAGCTAAGGGCAGTATGTACAGGGGACAAAGGAATGTGAGATTTATCTTTTCCTTCGTAGCTGCTATACGACAGGCCAGCAGTGGTGATCTATTCGATATAGATATCTTCTATCGGAAAAGCAGTCTCGATGAACTTCGTGTAGAACCGATGAAAAGCACGCCTGTGAAACAAAAGATCTCACGTACAATTCAAATATCACAGTTCCAAAGTTAGACGATCTTTTTTATTTATAAGACTCATGTACTCATTTTCTCTATTGCCCTTTGACGAAGAAACACGCTCAAACCTAATGTAATGTACACATAGACTTAATGTGTAAATCATGACCTGGCCAATTATTTTCTGCATGAATATTTATCATTTGAGGGTAAAAGTATAACGCAGGTCGTACGTACCCGACGGCTTCAGCGACGGGCCTCGTAGATTCTTGACCCATAAACACGTGGCAAGCAAACCTCTGCAGGGTCGGATGTTTCGTGATGAAGCCGAGATAACGATGATCTCGGGGGTGAAACGCGCAAAATGATACGTTCTTAAGCGAGTAGAAATAATCATGACAGGGTCCCTGTTTGTTCTGAAAAAACGAATAGAGTGCACATATATATAAGTATCGTTGTTGATCGCATGAAAGTGCATATGTCAAAACTACTCGACTCTCAATTGCTATTCTAATATTTCTTACCCACGCTAAAACACAGAATATTAATCAAGCGAATAGGAATTTAATGTTTCAACGTTAATTGAGATTTCACGTACCCGTGGTTTACTCCTGTCGACCATTCGAAGACCCTGATCGGACACCTCTAAGATGCAGCTCTGCGAAATGGGTGACTCCTGCGAGCTGCCTACGATTCTTCGAACAGCTTGGCAAACGACGCCGGTACCCTTGTGCGCCAGCGTCTCCACCGAGCCTAAATACCCCAAGAGGTACCGTTCCCTCTTCACCTTTGGCGCCGTGGGATCGAAGTCATTGTAATCCATGTCTACCGCGTACGCAGAAGGGAAGATGCCTTGGCGACCTGTTCTCAGGTTCACACCTTCAATTAAAATATCGATCATTACTATAATAGTTAATTATTCATCTTCGATCTCGAGATTTTTTATTTTTCTATAAAATCTGCAGTCGCGATAAGGAAGATATTGTTGTATTATTGAAAATATTAAGATTAAGTAGTGTTCGGACCTTCGCACCACAGATCGTCGGCCTCTTTTTGCACGTAGATAGGATCGCCGATCTCGAGATCGATCTCGTCGTGGTGTCTTGGCACGAATTTGTGCAATCCTCGATGCGTCGCTTCCAGCAATTCCAGCTGAGTGAACGGCACCCCACTGCTTCCTTCTAAGCGACATAGATAGAAAATTACGATAAATACTGCGGAAACGTACTTGAATTCACTGGAGTCACAACGACCTAGTTACAATCAGTTTTTGTAAAAAACAAAAAATCAGATTACCTGGCGTGCTTGACGGCGAAACAGAGTCCGTGTTCTGCAACGTGTTGCAGGGTATCGGGGAGACGCTTTTGGGTCCGTTTTCCGGAGAGTGGGCAGTGGAATGACCACTGTCGGTGGCCATTCGCTCGCTGTCAGGCGAACTGTCTTCGTGACGGAGCCTCGAGTGGCATTTTCGCAGAACCAGATGCGGTCGGTTGGAACTTGAACCAGTCGCAGCGTTCAGCTCGTCCGCCAAAGACGTCGACGATTGCATAGACGCTTGGCCGGCGGGAAGAGCTGCAATAATTGGGAAAATCAGCAAAATTATCACAGATGAAATTCGACGTGGCTACCTTCTTCCGTAACGACGAGATTCGATGTTGGGAATTCTGAGACTCTAACGCGTGAGAGAATTATTGAACAGTTGCGATATGCGTGTCACGATGAAACACTTTAGTATTGACACGAGTAGTCGCATTCATTGTGACGACCGCAGTTGAATAGGAATCGGAGGTAAAGTCCTCGAACGAGTGGCGGCGGCGTGACGTAAGTAAATGTGATTGCGGATTTTCTTTCGATGCGGTCGAGTTTTGCGGTCGAACGCGTAATGTCTTCGGGTTCCAGGCAGGTGATGGGATAAAGTTTAATTCGCGACGGAGACGCACGACTTATCAGCTACCAAGGTTATTACCTCTTTTCGCATTCGTTTAGTAATAAAAATAGAAGAGACATTCGTAACTCTATATTGGGATATCGACCATTTACGAGATTACAAATGTATTTCAGTCGAAACTTTAATTTAGGAATTGCCACTCCAGATATTCTCTCTTCAGAGCAGGGCAGATTTTTACATAAAATAAATCTTTTTTGATGTCAATTTAATTCCAGTCAGAGGAGATCTTAATTAACGATTAAACATTGTCAATTCGGAAAAATGTTGAATCGAAATTAATTTGACAGGTTTCAATTATAATTTCTAATTACATGAAATTCGGACAAGAATTTGTAGTCAGTGTTAAATTGAATTAAAAGTTTGATCTACGACGTTGCTGGTCAGCACAGCCGACGGCACGAAGCGAGACCGATGTTTACGACGCGAACGATTAGGTGAATTCTCTTACATTTCTTCGTTTTGGGGATTTCCGGTAGTCTCCGACGTCTGCGCTCGTTGCTGCCGCTTCCGGGACGATTCGGGACGTGTTCCGGCGTCGGCCAGGAACTCAGGCTCGAACAGGAATCACCGACGTCACTGACTACGCTATCTCTACCACCGTTACCGGACCCGGCAGTGCTACCTCCACCAGGACCCGGTCCACCGACGCCTGCCGATCGACCCCTGCTGCTCAGTCCACCGAACAAGCTAACGTCACCCAAGGGTAGTTGTGTAGTGAGCTAAGCTACCTTTCATCATGCCGTTTAGGGTGTGCAGGATTCACTTTTATTCTCCTTTTTCTTATCACTTCTAACTCGAACTTCTAACGTCGCTAACGGGACTACATTATCATAGATTCAAAACTGATTATTATCGTGTACAGAATTTTCACATGACGTCCATCGCCGATATAATCAGTTCTCAATATTTGATAAGAAACGACAAAAATACGGATAAATTCACTTGTAAAGATGCAACATGGGACATTAATTTGCTAGCCTAATCATGCAATCGGCGTGGCATTATTTCAATGTACGTTTCTAAAATTGAATGCACAGACATATGAGAATAGAGAAGATTCGACACCGAGAGATTGAGGAAACGAAAATGAATTGGACAGCAACCCCCTTAAAGCATGTTTCCTCTATCTTTTATGATGTCAACATGATCAATCATTTTTACGAGAAGGGTTCATCCTGGATGCAAGACGATTTTAGATTTTCAGTGTAGTAACCTATCCGTGTATAATTACTTGATCGATTTTACCGATACATGATTGAGTGAATAATTAAGACTTATTGCTTGGTCTCATGCATCGCTGGAAGTGATTAGTATCTCGTTAGCTCGCTCCGAGAATTATGATCGATACCCCTCGCATTATTCGCGAAGAGAATCGTTCTTCAAAAAATTCTACTGGTTTCGATTAAACTGAAGCTGTGGCTTTAAGTCGTCGTTCATTGTCTGTAAAAATTTTTTAACTATGACAACATTGAATTGATATAATGTCACGCAGATGTTTATCAGAGTTTACGCTTTAACAGTGACATTTATGGAAACCGAGTTAGAAACAAATTGTGCAAAAGACATAAGGATTTTCGTATTCGCATAACATTTTGAACTCTTTATAAATTATAAATTACGTTGACTGTTCTATGAACGTGTAACTAAATCCTAGATGAACTTCAAACGTAAACTACATACACGTGCTTTCTTAATAATTATTTAATAATTCTAAATAATCAAATTGTTGTATTATTTGTTTTATTGGTGTCAAAAATCGTGCGATCTTATTATCCTATGCGAGAAATACAAATCTATCTAATTCAACCCTGATTTGCTCCTTACTCAACTTATTTCTTCTTCCTATTACAAAATTGATATACGGGAAGACGAAGAAATTTAATAATTCGTGAGATCCTTCGTCCGAAATAAGAAAACCGATTTATTTTCATTCCTGGATAACTCGTTTACGAGAACCTCGAGTAAGATAATTTCATATAGGATAAGAGAATAAATCATTTTGTAGGAGATATCGAATTCGTAGACAAGGGATGAATCAGGGTTAACAGAGTTTATGTTTGAAAATTATAAGAAACGATTGTTCACTTACGACTTTACCAACCTAAAATCACTATCGGCTACGATTGAACAGTTGTGATCGAGGTCGTCACTTTCGTCCCCGGAAGTGTGCCCGCTTTGGTTGTCGTGCCGATGTATCACGACGACTTCCTCGTCCTCGGAATCAACGGCAACCCCGTCGCAGGATCTCTCGACCTCCACGTCGCTAGCCTGCGACGAGGTCGGCGAATCGTCTATCGTCACATCGTGAACGAGCCTGTTGCAAACAACAACAACAACAATGACAATAGTAATTTGCTGTTAACAATTAAATTCTCAAACCATGACTGCAATAAAGAAACAATTATTTTTAAAGAATTTTCTTTCAATCAAATCCTGATCCAAAATATATCTACATATGTTTGCTGTACTTAGAGAAGGAGTCGTTTCATCTAATACTTCAGATATAGTGCATTGAACTATGAGATTTAATAGAATCGTGACCGATGCGTCGTGCCTTACTACGTCTTCTGCTAAATATTAAAGTATTAAAGTATTATCCGTTTAAAGGGCAAGTGGATTAAAGTTGGCACTTCGCGATTCTCTGAGTGTACTCATCGCGGTTAAAAACCAATACAAACATCGTTGTTCAACAGGTAAGCGATAACATTAATCATAGAGTTGTTACACATCGTACAATATAATAAATATAATAAATATAATAAATATAATAAATGTAATAAATATAACAAGTGTTTTGCAGATTCTCGTAAAAATTACAACTAGTGTTTTAAACAAATTATATTTGAGTAGCCTACTAATGAATATTTTATATTACTACGTTTTTATTAACTCGCTTCCTTGTCTGTCTGTTCGGTACAAATTTTGCAATTGAGTTTAAACTAACTTCCCGATGAATTAGAAACTTGAAATTTTAAACATAGCTTGGAACTAGATGACAATGCAATATTAACTTGCTCTCTTGCCTGCCTGTTCGGTACAAATTTTGCAATTGATGTTAAACTAACTTCCCGAAAAGCTAGAGACTAAAAAGGAGAAAATAATTATTTAAATAAAACAAAATTGTAATATACGACGTTTTTGAAACGGAATAAAAGGTATAAAATAATTATAAAATACTTGTAAGACTTAAAACAAAAAATGTTCGTTTTAAATCTTACAACTATTTTTCTTTTTTTATTTAAATAATTTCATTCTGAACGCAAAAAAAATATTCCGTATCTTCTTACATATTTAAACTTTCCATGAATGCGTAATCGTCTACTGCCTGGTTTAAATGCAGCACTGACCCAACTGAGAAATGACCTTTTCAATGTGTCTCCCATAAAAGGGGCAACAAAAAATGTTTCTCTAGTCTCATTTAATATAAATAAGTACGCTCAGGCTGCATCCTACTGCAACGAATTTATTTCACGTATAGCATCGACCGCGCCTCCGCGTTGCATCTCTGGCCACGTTATATACTCTTACTCCTCCGATCTTCATCTCAATAGTAAGAATCGTTGGTCAGAAACAATAATGAATAATGAAAAAATAAATCGTCACGTGCCAATGTTAAATTAATTATTATGTATTTATAAAAGTAAATCGTGCTAAGGAAACATGGTGACGTTCGAACGAAATCCTGCAATAACTTGTGATGCATCGGACTGAATTAATAGGAAAAAAATATAATTAAATTAAAACTGTGGCACAATTTGAAATTTGGTGTGGAGCAATATTTTTCCACGGAGTTGTCACGATGCCAGCGAGAGCCATTCAGAAGCAATTTATCTGCAGTTTTCTATACATGTATAGTAGATCGGGAATTATATGAAAATTCGAATCTGCAGGAAATATAAAAAATTCGTATAATATCCAAAGTGGATTGCATACTATCGTTTATAAAGGGTTGAGGAAATTCCGAAGTAGACGTCATTTTTTTACATTGACATCACAAATTCTTTTACTCACAGATATTTTGGAGTAAAGATACATTAAAAGTAAAGAGAAGCTAATCTTATGATTGATAGTAGATTTTAGAAAGATTACTAATTCAGAGATTGCACAGACCCAATTTGCTACATACAAGTTTGCACATTAAAAATTGAGGATAACGACTTTCTTATATGACACGAAAAGTGCGATCACTTGTGACAATTTCTGTCTTTTAATAATCATATCTACGTAAAAGATGTTTCGATATGATTCGGAATAGACGAGACCATTAAAGAATCATTCTATCAAAGAATAGTACGTTCTCTGCGAGATGATACAAGCAAAGAGCCCAGTGTCCTATTAACTAAATCTCATTGTCTCTACGTTTTTCGCTATTCTCTGTCTGAATCTACTTAAAAGGTCGGACCGCACTCGTTGCAGGGACGAAAGGCCATGTTCTTCGGAGTGAATCGAGGAACGATCCGGTTCTAGTAGCATACGTGTACTCACGTGTAATTAGAAAGGGGTGCCTTGAGATGCTGAGGGAGTCTCTCGAAATAGTGCCGAAATTCCTCGAACTCGGTGTCAGCCATTATTCCGCGGCAGCCGAGGTAAAAGGGAGAGACGGTCGAGTCCGGGTGCGATCCTGAAGGAGGCCGTCAGGGCCTGGCGTAGAGCTGCCCGTCGACCCCGAGGAGAACCCTGTTCGGGTAGCTGAAGATGTCGCTGACGTTGTCGGACGACGTCGACGTCGGACGAGCGCAAGCGGACGAAACCGCTTCGACGCCCTCACGCTAACGGGTGCCCTATTGATTCCTGCGTGGTGAGCGCCGCGCACACCCCCGCGTGTATACCGTTCGACGGATACGCGACGCGACTGTTTCCCGACGAGTCATCCGCGGGGAGATCGAAGTCAGCCAGCCAGCCAGCCGAACATCCGAGCCGAGAGGCTAAAACATGCGGGAGGCTTATTTGATATTTAACCCTCCTACGTCCGATCTGTTAATTTTATACATTTTTATTACGCAACGTACGTCTCCTCCTCATGTATTAAATAAACTTGGAGGTTTTCGTTCCGTCAATAATTTTGGAAAAGAGAAGGAGTCGAAAGAAATCGGTTTAAAAAAACTCTTAGCTATTCATTTATGATCGTATGAAGAATTCTTCCAGTTGAGAAAATCGTTCCAATTTTTCGCGTAGATAGAGAAACGGAATCCGAGAGCTCCGAAGTATCGACGAGACGAATCATTTAATAATATTTTCTAACACAATAGACAGGAAACTTTGCCTTCTGAAGGGGAAAAACGCGAATTAATTTGCGCTCGGATTAACGAGAAACCTTTTAAATCATTATACGTTTTCCCTACTCATAAAAAGCATGATCTTCGCAATTTTTAAATAAAACAATGTCCTAGACAAAAAATTTGTTGCCAGGGATTTGTTTCTAATGATAAACTTCATAAATCTTCGATTTTCAAGCTAATGTGAATAGACGATAAGTAGAGTCCGTCCAGTTAGCCCGGCTCGTACGGAACTCTGGCCTCTGACCCTCATCGGCCCGTTTGGTTGTCTATGCGCTTTCGCTATCGTCAATTTCAAACCTGGCTAGGCTAGCACACCAGTAAACATCAGAAGGTACTACATAGCTCAGTCAGCGACGGAGCAGATAAAAATCGATGCTTTACGCAAGTTCAACTTTTAACGTGTGTAATTAATAAAGACTTAAATTCAATTTTTTACCATGACCTGCACCAAATGCCACTCTTCATTTATGACTTAGATGCCAGTATGTTGTATTTTCTTATACACGTGTGCACTGTATTCACTTTTGAAAGACAAACAGGAACCCTCTTAAGGGGGGACACGATTCGTACACGATTCAGCGATTCTGTGTGTCCGTTCGTGATTTTCTAAAGTGGGCCAATAGCAGAAATTAGGATTCATGACTTCTATAAAGAAACTCGAACAGAATTGTGATCATTTAGTTATAACAAATAGAAACTTATGCACTGGACTATTAATATATAAATTGTAGATATTAACTTAACGAGTGAATATTATCAAATTTATGTCATTACTCATCAGTAGTCACGTTTTAACTAATCTACATTTTAATAAATATGTAATGTAATATATAAACATAATTTATATAATACTCTGATCTTGGAGTTGTCACAATGAATGGAAATTATGAACATTGAAGTTTGAGCTCTGAGAACAGATATAAGATAAAGGATACGTGTGTCGTTCTATGGAAACCCTGTGAATAGGAAGCAAATTTTGCGATACGGGTGGTACACCGCTATAAACTATACACGCATAATTCATATTTGCTGGTCGTCTAAATTTTCCATCGATCTCGGTGAAATGACGCTGCCGACGGTTATCAATTACCGAAATCTCGCGATGTATCAACGTTCTCTGAGGAAGAACGTTTCGGAACTTCTCGCGTGTCGGACATCGATGAAAATGATTCGATGACCGGCGGACAGGACGATAAACAGAAACCGTTTCTCGTAGAGATCGAACGGACACTCTCAATTCTCTTAATGCTACGGGAACGGTTGGTATAATTCAGCGAGGGTGGTAGCTGATAGTGGTAAGTGATAGACATCGGTAATGTGCTGCATCTGCTTTGCCCGGAGCCGAAGGAGCGAACGTTCTTGGGAGTTCGAGGCTTTTATTAAACACCGACCTCCTTTGTTCTCCGGGAAAGAAACACAAAAGCTGGGACGATTGTCTCATGGAGAAAAAAAAACTTAATCCTTCTAAGGAAGCGACCAACCTCGGCAAACCGCTTTTTAAGTAGAAAACGTTAAGTAAGAACGTGGTATTTTATTCTTTGAGTTTAAAGGCGAATACCGATCGTTAAAAATTATACAATATTGTGTAACAGAAAAAAAATGTCGGAGAACATTGAAACACGTTAATAATTTAATATAAATTTATTAGATGGAATCTTCACCATAGAAGATTGCACTTATCAATAAATTATTGTATTGGCTGTTATTTAAACAAAGTTAAAAACCATGCTGTGTCACGAGTTCATTCAAGTTGATGAATCAATTTTCTATAAATATCAAAAATTGTGGAGCTCGTAAATCAGAATCGAGGAAACGGGATTCGTGTCTTTGCTGTGGTTGGCTAATTTCACTTGGCCTAGAAATCTAAAGAAGATCGCGCGTGCACCACTCCATAGAAAGGGACCCTCTTCGAGGGCGACGGGGGGCACTCCTGGATAGGAAAGAGTAGTCCTTTTGCTGGGGATCCTGCAATCTGCTCTCGGTATACATCGTCGCCGGTTCTTGCACCACCTACGCACGTTCCGTGGACTCCAGTTACGTCACAAAAGGGATACATCCGACGAGCTGCACAGTTACGGTTCAATGGGGTGAGCCAACACTCTCCTCTTCAACCCCGACCCCATGAGAAGTCTTATCCGACCAATGAGGAAACTTGGTACCGCTGTGCGTCGACCAATCGCGTACGGATCGTCATTGAGGAGGACGCGTGCACGGAGGGGACCGAGGTCTTAAAAAGAACGGAGAACCCGCTGGTACCCGGACACTGCTGCTCGTGATCCTTCAAAGGACGTGTCGTTCAATTTATTATCAAAATTGTTCAGCTTAATTAATTATATAGTTGTTTGATCGAGGATAAATCAGTGAAAGTAGGAACGAAAAATCCTGCTTAAGTTCGTCTTGTCTTTTTCTTCAAACCGGAATTATTATGAGTGGTTCTGGAAAAAGTCTCCTCGGGGTGTGGCTGTACAGAAGAGGCGAACATTGGGCCGTCAAGGAAGGAAGTCCTTTACATAAGCCAAACGATGTGCGTTTATTAATTTCATTTCGGCGTATAAATTCTCTTTCTCATCATTTCTAGAATTAGTCATGTGTAATTGTTTAAGTACACATTGGTTTCCGTCATTTTCTTTATATTTTTTCCATGAAATCCGTAATGTGTCTCAAACATTGCGTCTTCCATTCGTTCAGATTCCCATGGTCGAGCGTAAATCAAACGGCGATAACAAAAATTCTGTCGTATTCTCGTTGAAAAATCAGATCGGCGGCTTGGCGCGGGCACTGCAAGTTTTCCAGGTATGCTCGACGATCTCGCGAAACGAAAACAAATTGCACGTACAACGAGAGGCTCTCTTCGAGTGTTTCGAATTTTCGGTTTATTCCCATACGTCCTTTTCATGTTTCACATTTATGAAGGATCTGGGCGTGAACGTCGTTCATATCGAATCGCGGAAATCGGTGCGTCGCGGTTCCGAATTCGAAATTCTTGTCGACGTCGAGTGCGACCCGCGAAGGATGGAAGAGTTGACGAGATTACTGAGTCGCGAAGTCGCCGCAATTAATTTAGCCCAGTACGAAAAGATGGGAACCATCCCGCACACCCCGTCGCTTTCTGCAGCTCCGAGTTTCGGTAAGTCCCTTTTTTGTTACACAGCCGTGGTCGAAAAAATAATTTCACTAAACCCTATGAGAGTCCGTATTAATTTCAAGTTGATATAATTCCGAAACGAACGTCAGAATTTCTTCCAAACACTGCATGCGATGTTAACTGGTTATTTGCAAATTTTTAATTGGTAGCCAGTACAATCTTAAGGATGTATTGGCTATACAGTCAATCCCAAAAGTTTATGCACTTTAGAAATGCATTTTTTAAAAGGAAATCAGATGTCGGAAGAACATTGGTAATAATAAACAACAAAAAAAAATTTTCGATTTTTCCGAGATTTTTCTAAGGGGTACCCCTTCAGATTTCGTGAAATTTTCGTTTTTGGCCAATAACTCCCAAACCGTTGGACATACGGAAAAATTGCACCAGACCTTTCTTGTAGAGGACGACGAGATCTACAATTTCCATGTAAAACTTTTTCGCTAGCGTTAATAGTTTACGAGTAATTTGCAAAAAACCGTTTTTTCGTTTTTCGTCAATAACTCGTAAACTATTGACGCTAGCGAAAAACTTTTATACAGAAATTATAGATCTCGTCGTCCTCTACAAGAAAGGTCCTATGCAATTTTTCCGTATCTCCAAGAGTTTAGGAGTTATTGAAGAAAAACGGAATTTTTTTCCAAAAGTTCGCCGTTTCGACGCTGGGATGGACGGATTTTGTCAACATCAATAAAATGCCAAATAATCATACGTAACTCGTTAAATATCGAAGTTAGAAGGAAAGCAACTTTTATTTGAAGCATTTTTCGCAATTTCGAAAAAAAAAACTTTACAGATTTTAGCGAAGTAGACATGCCCTGGTTTCCACGAAAAATATCGGATCTGGATCAAGCTCAAAAGGTGCTAATGTACGGATCTGAATTAGACGCGGACCACCCCGTACGTACCATTAACTGTTTCATTCTTAATGATCAATAACTTCGGGAACAATATTAAGTAGACAAGTAAAAACAGTTGTAAAAAACAATTTTCCTATTTTACATCTAATTCATATGAATTGCAGTATTAAAAAAAAAATGTGCTTCTCATCTGGCAAATTCGTTAGATCCGATTGTAAGAGAATTCTGTTTTTGTCCCCTTAATATTGTCTCTTAAATATTATGTATAGCACTTTGGGTGGTGAGTTTAACTCGATGCTTTTAGGGGTTCAAAGATCCAGTGTATCGTAAACGTCGAGTGGAATTTGCGGATATAGCCAACAACTATAGGCAGTACGTTAAGAATCATGAATTTATTACGAAACGAAATCAATATCAATTAATACGAATAATGAACGTTCTTTCAGTGGACAACCGATTCCTCGCGTTCAGTACACGCCGGAGGAAATAAGGACATGGTTCGTAAATTTATTTCTTCAAAACACATCTTCTCTTTAAATAAAAATAAGAGTTGTTATAGAAAGTGCTGATGAAACGGTAGCTCATTAAAAGAATCGTCTGTACGTGCTCAGACGAGAATCAGGCTAGTTTATGAGATAGGCGATACTATTCTTTCGGTATCTTCTATTTCCTTTCGACTTCGAAACGGTATTCCTAACTCTCTACGGATAAAGTGCAAAGTGAAGCTGCTACACCCCGCTACTTCTCATTGACGTAGGAAGCGAGACGAGTGAAGATTGACTCGCTGTTGAATGCACCCCTTAATTGTCCTTATTCAGTTTATCTCCGAGATCTTCGAGTGATTTCTACGTTAATGCAATCTTCACTCGAGAAGCGAGGAGCGATAAGTAATTTAGTTAACCGTAGTGGAAACTTGTTGAAAACATCTACAAACAAATATATTTTAACCGATTTACTAGTAAATAATTGATAATACTATTTTGCACTATGAATATACTCGTGATGTCTATTGGTCGCTGTGTCATTTATTTTTACATCGATAGATTCGAGCGGTTTATTAAAGTTGTATGAACCTTTACATAAAATCAATAACAAAGTATTGAAACTTTAACAGTTACTAAATATTGAATTAATAAATACAATCTTAAACTGGAGGATTTAATTATCATTTCTAATTAAAATCTATATAATTTTGGAACTTGTTCTCAGACTATTGAATAATAAAATGTATAAATTATTTTTCGTACTCCTGTTAGTAAAAAAACGTTCGTTTTCGACAGGGGAACCGTGTTTCGCGAATTGCATCAACTTTATCAGAAATATGCTTGTAAGGAGTATCTGGAGAATTGGCCGAAGCTTGTGAAATACTGCGGCTACAGGTAACACCGTTTTGCGTCAATTGCACTTATCTCGCATTCTCATTCGATTAATCAATTTTTATTTAACTTACGTAACAACAGAGAGGATAACATACCACAATTGCAAGACGTGAACACATTTTTGAAACGTGAGTGCAAAAATAAATAAATAAATGGAAGGAGCGACGGTGTGATTCATTTATGAAATTATTTCATAAAGTTTAATTATTTTATCTTAGGAACGACTGGGTTTCAACTACGACCCGTGGCTGGTTATCTTTCGCCAAGAGATTTCTTGGCTGGTCTGGCTTTTCGAGTTTTCCATTGTACGCAGTACATCCGACATTCGTCCGATCCCTTTTACACACCCGAACCGTGAGTAATTCTAAATAAAAATAATTCGGTAATACGAAATGGAAAAAGGTTTCTATTGAAATTTTCGAGTTAAATGTGGTTCATCAGATTTAGTCTGAATAGAAGAAGAAATATTTTCAAGATCAGAGGTGTTTTCAGATATGAAATTCCATACGATTTGTATTATTTCTGAGAATTTCTTTATTTCTTGCTTTGAAGTTTGGTCAATTATTCCCAGGGACTGCTGTCACGAATTGTTAGGGCACATGCCTCTCCTGGCGAACCCGAGTTTCGCTCAATTCTCGCAGGAACTCGGCCTGGCCTCCCTTGGCGCTTCGGACGAAGACATCGATAAACTGGCAACCGTAAGTGTGCAGTGTTCGAGGCAGTTCTTTATTCTCGTCGATAGTCCATTAAACTCTGTTTGCAACCATAAACGGGTACACTGAGAAATATTTTCAATTATCCACCGGTGATTATATCGCAGAGCCTGACAGAAGTATATTTTATTTGACGAAACTCCACCATATAATAAATTCACATATACGATGTTTCCATGTTTATACGCGATATCTGTTATCGGTTCGCTTCGTATTTTACGTAAAATTCTTTCCTACCATATTTCCTTTTTTTCCCTTTCAGCTGTATTTCTTTACCGTCGAATTTGGATTATGCAAGCAGGACGGAATACTGCGCGTTTACGGCGCTGGTTTATTGTCTTCCGTCGCGGAACTGAAGCACGCGGTTTCCGCTCCCGAGAAGACGCTTCGTTTCGATCCGGATGTAACTTGCAAGCAGGAGTGTATTATCACCGCGTTTCAAATTGCTTATTATTACACGGACAGCTTCGAGGAGGCCAAAGAAAAAATGCGGTAATTCTTCTTGACGAAATATCTAAGAGAATAAATACACAGGGACGAACAGGTGATTTTTGGATATTTTTATTTTCTACTAAGTGCTTGTGTTTCCAGCGCGTTCGCAGGTCAAATTCAGCGCCCCTTCGGATTACGTTATAATCCTTATACGCAATCGGTGGAGGTGTTGACGGACGCTCAGAAGATCACTGCTGTGGTCAGCGAGCTACGAGGAGATCTTTGTATCGTCTCGAACGCTCTCAGGAAGATACACGAGCAGGACGACACGGTGGACGTCGAGAGGATAACCAGTCTCTTAACACACGGCATCGACATACATCAGGACTCCTCGTCCTCCGACAGCGACGCTGATAAAAGCCCGAACATCGACGCGCCTCAAAATCCGGTACAGGATCGCAACGAGCCGTATACCTCCGACGACATGTTCTGATCATTTAATAAAATTCTGTTCTCGGCCAAAAAGCTAGTGTTCTATGTGCGTTGTAAAATGTTGTTGTTAGTCGACAAAAAGAATTGTTGAAGTTGCGAATTAAATATTTCATCGAATTAGCGTAAGTTGTACGATGAATCGTAGTTGGCAATTGTAAGATGATTTATTCGCAATATAAATGTGTGTACAATCGTTTGTGTTTGAAGGAGATTATATTTATAGAGGATAGAGAATTATTCAGGCTAGACTCTGTAGAAGAGAAATAAATAAAGATTACATGAAAAATATGATGACATGATTTCGACTTTTTATTTCTGTATCCCGTGCCATTATTTACTATACTTTTATCCCAGTTCATTATCCAAACCAATTATAAGTAAAATAATTAAAAGTTTATGGTAGCTCAGCTTGGGTAACGTATCAAGAGAGGGCCTATTTTAAAATAAGAATATGAAGTGAAAATTTCAAACTTTAACTATTGTTTAGTTCAACTTGTATTAAAATCGTATATGTTTTGCAAATGCTATCGAACTACGTGCTCAAAAGCGAACGTAGATTTTACGATACTTTTCAAACCGAAAAGTAATAACAAAATTATTTAGGATGAAAAATAGATGAAATTAGACAGATACATGGATTATATGTTTATCTTATAAGAAATCCTGACCACGTGTGCTTACAATCCTAAAACTCTATATTCGCTTGAAGTGGGAAAGAGCGTCAGGATTAAATGAAGCAAGGGGCAGAATAGGTAAAGTTGAATTTTAATAGATCAAAGGTTCAACAATAAAACTTTTGAAACATACGTATACATATAATTAGATGTACATATATGTTATATATGTATATTAACCATAAAATGACAGTCACAATCAATAGTGTTACAAAATAAATATATATCTTTTACAATCTCTTATCTAACATTTATATAACGTACAATAATATAGAATCTGTAATTCGGAGAAAGGATACACGAGAGAGAATAACAATAATAATCGAGTTGGATTAGGAACGTTTATGAAAATACTGCACCCTCCTAAATATCAATTTATAGTCTTCATTAAATTGATCTGATCCAAGTGCCAATTAGTACTACGTCTACTGTAAATCGTAACTATTGTTTTCCATTGAATGGACCATCGCATAAACGTTCACGGTTCATTTTGATAATTGATATAAAATGAACAAGATTTTGAAAATTAGCCACACACGACGAGACATGTTGTTATAATAATTCGCAAGCTAAGATTTTAATACTTCATTAACCGTAATTGCGATTGTACTATGCATAATGTGCGAATATCGTTATAACGAATGAAGAAAATACGAACTCGTTCAATAGTCGAAATACAATTTTTTATCATCATTTTAACTTTCGGTGATTCTTGTAGATATTATATAAAAATGCGTTTGAAACGCAATCTATACTTCTATATGACTATCGGCATATTTTTAATTAGAGCACGTCGTACACTTTTTGTTGTGCGCTTCTGTGAAATCAAACAAATCGATTCGCCTCTCATTATAATTTTTAATACGAAAACTACATATATATATTTCTTGCAATCGAAATTAATACCATTGAAAATTAATGGTAATTGTTGAAATGTTCTGTAAATTGTAATCATATAAATTGTAAAGTATAAGAAAAAAGTTTGTTCATTCATATTATTACGTAATAATTAATGATAATTGACTTCGTCCTTAAGTTTGTCTCTGTTAATAACATCAAACGATATTATATTGAAAATGTATTTGAACATGAAATAAAATAAGTGATACTGGAGATTCCCGTTCGATCTTCTTCAGGTCTTTTATGGGGTTCGCCGTGGGCCATTCTAAGCGACCTGCTCATATTTCATCTTATTGATGTTGCTGGCCAGGCAACAGGCGAGAAAGATGCCGACGAACGGAAAGAAGGTAACGCCGATAGCTAGACTAGCCACCATCCCTATGTTACCGTTTATGATGCCTAAAACTCGAGTGTAGCAACCCTGTAAGAATAGAACAGAACACTTTTACGTCAAGGCTCGGTTCGTGTATGAAAAATGTATTCAGAAACAAATAATGAAGTTATTCAGATAGTAATTTCATGTATTCTTTGAACTTCATTGCTATTTTATAAACTCGAGGACACGAACTTGTTCGGTCATTAAAATTCTGATTATGTGCTAATACGATCATTAGTTGTTTTACCTGAGTGTAAATCTGGTCAACGTCGCTAACGTCACAAGGTGGTGGACTCTGTTCGACTTGCGATTCACCCTCGAGAAGTACGTAATTCTTGCAACAGGAATTGGGCATGTCTTTAGATGGATACATGTTCAACCAGTCGTTGTAGCCTCTGTTACCGCAGCAGAATAGCTTGAAACAAGTAAAGTGTGATACGTTATGATAGTAATTTCAGTATTTCTGTATGAAACGTATTAACAATTACATTCTTAATTACTCTAACAAAGAATAACTTAATTATTGTAAGTGTAATCTTTTGCACCTAAATTCTCAATTAAAAACAATTTTTATTAGAACTATTTATAGTAAAATTCTTACAGTGGATTGTATGAAGTCGATATAATTACTTTTCTTGGTATTCTGGCCATAAACTGCCATGGTCTCGTTCAAATCTTGATCAAACTGTTTATCCAAATCAGTACGATAAGCGTAAATTGATGCACCGGCTCCCAGTTCTAATATCACTATCACCGCTAAAAACGCGCCATACTGTGAACAAAATTTGCATCGTTAGTACTCGGCAATTTTTTTTGCATGTTCGATAAATCATTCTTTTCATAATTGCCACAATCGAGGAAGACATAACCGATGATATAATTATTCATTACTAAATATGACTATTCAATGTGTTCTATTATAGGTACGTCATATTATTTTAATAAAAAAAAAACCTCAGCAATTCGTGTAAGTCTCTGGTAATTATAATTACACGTACCACATAGAGCAGAGCAGGATGGCCTCTGGTGGTGCAGCAACAGGCGAACGTGGCTATCAGTGTTAATAATGCTCCCAAACATGCCAGTGCCAAAAAGGCAGCCCTGCTTGAGTCCGTGTTGATGTCGACGTAGTCACCTAATTCTATTCGCAACCATATGCCGGTGCACAGCATCAATATTCCGACCACCTGGACGGATTATCAATATTAAACTAGATGTGATTCAAACGATTGTAATCATGCAACGACGTAAATGGAAGAAATTCGTTCACCGTCGAAAACTAATGATTCTTATATCAAAATTATTTTCCGCCACAAAATTGCTCGGTTTATTTTATAATAAATAAGGACTGCGACATGCTCACGAATTTTTTGTCTTGCATCCCATGAAATATTTCTATTTTTGTGTCAATAAATAAAATGTAAGATAAATGCAAAAAGGAAGAATGTCGCGTCGTTTTTAGTTTCTCATTTCAAACATTTAACCGATATTGTGAAAATTTCCTTCACTTCGCACGAGCTTTTCCCGGTTGTTTAATTCTAGATAATTCAAAATTCTTGTATGGTGGACGAAAGTTATCAGGGAAGTGTAGACTGACATCGCGTGACCGCAGAAACTTGATAACGATAAGGATGAATATCCTTAACTTTCAAACTTTCGAAAATATATAAAGATATTAATATGTATCGTTTTATACTCTAAGTACGGAAAATTATATTTAATATTGGTTTGGCAACTATAAGTGATTTCGGATTTTAAATAAGAAGTCTATCGACAAACTACGCACTTATTTAGTTGCCAACCGAATAGTAAAATACGACTAATGTTCACTTTTATATTAAATATCGTATTGCACATTTCCTTTCATTTTATATATTATTTCATTTGTATACGAAATTCCTGTATCTTCATGGACACAACTGTTGGTATCGTCCGTTCAATTTCTTTAACTCGTTTCAATATGAAAACACGCAAAGTCAAATCGTGGATCCATTAAATTGAACTATAAATGGAACATAGACAAAAATCTGAAAATTCGTCACAGGTTTCGTATGATCGAGACAAATTCTATCCTATTCACCGATGACGTACACTTTAACATTATCTATCTATTTTAATCATTGAAATATTTGTATTCATTGTGATTGTATTAAGAATAAAAAGTTAAACTTACCTTTCATGAATTAACTTGTTGTGTTAAAGATTACAGAGACTTACCCATAAAATACAGTTGATGAGCATGAGTAGAGTTTTCATACAAGCCATTGTGGCCATAAGTCCCAAATGTTTCGCCATTATATTCCTTTGCCACTGACTCCTTTCTCCTCAGCAAAATTTAAGGGACGCGCGGCGATGAATTCTGACGATTTTTAGGATACTACGCGCTAAACTAAACGAAAGGAGCGAGACTGGAAGCTCCGGATCGATTTTGCCAGCGAGGATTGCGCCAAGTTACGCCTGGTTTGCGTGCGTGGCTGCCGCCCCACTAAAAACAGTACATGCGCGTTGCAATCACCCATTACATTTAGTTTGTCCTCTCCTTATTTTCGTAATTGCATTTGTTACGAAAAGGAAATTGAGTCGAATAGTACGACCACTCTGCCACCCAGAGGAATAGTCTATTTTTTACAGCTACTCTACGCACCTAATCCATAACTCGTTCTATCCTTTCACGGTCTAATAAAATAACGAAAAATACGAGACGTGTTTAATTTAAGAAAAATTAAGTTTAAAATAACATCATCGAATTTATTCAGTAGTTTCAACTCAATTAACATTGATTCTCATACCCATCGATTACACAGGCATATAAAAAAATGTTGATCTGACGGATCAGAAACGATCTGATCCGATTCGTGGTGCACTTTTTTTTGTATGACTGTTATCACTCGTTCGTGTCACGTTTTCACCCCTTTCTCATTGCCTCTAATATTCCGCGCTTCAATTGATCGTCTGCAGTTCATCTTTTATCTCCAGACAATTATTATTCTCTTCTCGATCGTTTGAAACCATAATGGTGGCATTATTTTGTGTAACTTTCTGTTTTAAAAGTTTGTTATAATCAATTTCATACGTAGTCAAGTTGTTCTCATTCTTCTTGTCATCGTCTTGCCTCTCTCGTTCGTTACTCTTTACTTTGTACGAGGGAATAGTGTCGTCCTTAATATTAGTGTCTCGTCCTTGTAATTGATTATTACTTTGCATGTTCTCATCGAGGCTGTCGATGATCGCAAAATTATTTTCATTATTCTGTTCGGAAGGAACATTAAAATCGTTGTCTTCGTTCAAATCGATCTTCGATAAATCCACGTTGAACCACGTGTCAGAATCGACGTCGTCTTTCTTCGATTCGAGTAGATTCAGGTCTTGGACATTTTCGTTTTCGAATTTACTATCCACGAGCTGATCGGCAATGAAATCGGACATGGCACTCACGTCCCATTCCACGAGTTCCTCGCTGCTAATCGAGACCCTGTCTTCTTCTTTTTCTTCGTTCTTCGACTCCTTTTTCTTCCTGCTGTTTTTTAGATCACCGATGGTCTTGAAGTAAATGCTGTGATCGTATCTGCACGTACAATACACGATTTTTGGGATACATAGAACGAGACGATAAAACGGTTCAGATAATTATTTGCATTAACATTCTGCCGTATAATAATGAACACGATATGTGCGTTGCTTTAGTTCAATCTTCATCTGTATAATCTTCATACGCGTATCGATTCGTTACGCTAATAATACTTGGAAAAATCTTTTTGAATAAGCTGAATAATAAATAATAATAGAAGCTAATAAGCTTTTTTAACTTATTCAAGAAGATTTTTGCGTATGCGCACCTGTACGTTTCCAGGCAAGAGGTGTCCAAAGTGCTGTTAGACTGATAATTGAACGTCCCGCAGCAATTGATCTTCGTCTCCTCCGGCCGTGATTGCCTCCTGGACTTCTTCAGCGTATGAAAGCGGGGACTCCACGAGGAATCGTCTATGATCAGCTTATTAGAAGAGATGCTCCATCTCGTCTCCTGTCCGCCCTGCATGGTCATACGCCCCCGCGACAGTCTCTGAGACCGCAGCCGATTGTAACCCCTCGCGTACGCAGCCCATCTCTCGATCCGCTGAAAAATGTACTCGGTCTCCTCGCTCCACCATTCCGAAAGACCCTTTTGCAGCATCACGCCGACGTCCTCCGTCATCGTCGATAAACGATCAGAAATACCGTTTGCCCCCTGAAAAAATTGATTTTCTATTAAGTACGCGTCTCGCGCTTTTTTAATAATCATACTTTTTACCATTAATCATAGTTAATGTGCGGATTAATTTAAGTAAACAAGTACGTACTAAATTATCATTGTAAGGAGAATCATTGTCGAACTGTTCGATATGAAATTGATAAATCTCGAGCATAACGAAAATTTTATAAAATTCTACTTACATGCGAACGATTAGATTGTTAAACAGTGAGGGAGAATGATGAATTCAGGTTAAAAAATGGAAGAGAAATGAGCTTGAAAAGAGGTGTCAGTGGTATTTATATGCAGGCCGGATTTGGAAGCACCGCAAATACCTCAAGAAACCTTTTAAACAGGAATCGTCATAATCCTTTGACCGTGACTTTCCGCATAGTTACGAGAACCTAGTTCTAATTCTTCCCTCGTATTTGTAACAATTTATTTATATAAAATATCGAGGGGATTTTATCTTGAAGGAAGACAGGAACAATTCCAAGTCTCCACGGATATTCACAATTAGACTGAAAGAGAATAAGCTAAATAAAATATGAAATTATATAAGATTTTCAGATTACGAATTAAACAGTATGCATGTATTTTTAAGTTGAAAATATTACAATTGTTGTAAGTGTACATAACGCATAATACGTATAACGTAGAGTGCAACGCTGAAAGGTAATTCAATTTGCGAGCTGACGATAAGCGATTGCGCTCTTTCAGAAGATTATCTTTTTCACCTGTCCAAGCTTTCCAATAATTAATTCGAATTAACAGTATATTGGATTAACGTCTAAAATAAAAGTATTCGTCCCTATTATATGTGTCAAGTAAAATTTCGAAACAAAAGAAATCATTAACTTTTTATCATTCATGTTAAATAAATACTCGTTTATCTATACAATTTTTTTAACAAGAACCAACGAATCCAACGTCCTTTCGGATATTCGTTCAATATATTTCGTCTTAATATATAAATGAAATATTATACACAGATGAAGTTGATTCATAAGGAAATATGATTGATAAAAATAGCACTGGAAATGTAAAGCATAAATGCAAGCCTGAAGTCCTTCTAAACGAGTAACAAAGGTAATTCGTTTACCCGAGCTGTCGATCATTCCATACTACCCGTTGAATTATCGAGCAGGTTGGAGAAAATTGTTTATCAGTCCGCGGCTACGTGAATTAAAATTTAAAAGAGAGTTGCAAGAGTGGGATCACGGGGGAGGATGAACACTGAAGATGATGGGGCTGTACCAAGGGTATAAAAAGCAACGTGTCGACGGTGAAACGCGCATTCTTCCGCCGATTTCCACTCGACCATTAACAGGTGATAATATTTCATATTTTCGTATAAAACTTTTATTAATCGCTTTTTTATGTATACGAAATATTTTCGTGTCGACCGTCGAATTCCAGATATGAATTTACCTCTTGCACTTACCTGCGTGATGACAGTGATCTGGTTGTTCAGCGAAAACTGTGAAACGGCGCCCGAGGTGATCAATGACGGCCACCGGAGATTCAGGAAACATCCCCTGTCACAAGGGTAACTATACTTACGTATTTAATTATGACCGAGAAAAACAGGTCGAATTTTATAAAACTGACTCCTCTGTAATTATCATTCCTTCTAAAAGTTCATTGCTTCAAATTCAATTGGACACAGTTTTTTATTACACGTCCTAAACTTTTGGCAAACATCTTACGACTGATACAACCTTGAGAAGCTTTTAGGAAATTATTTCTAATTCTCTCGTTCACGAATTCGTTTGAATGTATGCAGGTACAAGCAGAATGTTCTGCAGGGCGAAGAGGATAATTTTTTGGACTGGAACAAGCGTCAGCATTTCGACGATTACGGCCACATGAGATTCGGCAAACGTGAACATTTCGACGATTACGGTCACATGCGGTTCGGCAGGAGTCATAAAATAGACAATTAAAAATGCTAGTTGATACGTAACTGGAAATTAGTAGTGTCATTTCATTGTTATCAAGTAGATGAACTATATTTTACATTGTAGACAAGTATTGTTTATCATTACGACTGAACTATGGATTCTTATGCAGAATTGCAGAATAAAACATTTGTGGTATCAATTAAAAAAAACTGTGGACAAACGTTCTTTTATCACTGCACTCGTGTTTTAATATTGAATACAAAGAATTGTAATAATAAAACAGTATACATTTATTTACGTACACATTTATTAAAAAGTGTTGAAAATACTTGTACTGATCTTATTATGCCACTAAACGCAATAAAATAATTATTTCATTTCTCACAACTTTATTTTAATTTCCTATCCTCACCTTATTTATACCGAATCATTATGTATGTGCGTATGCGAAACAAAGATACTTTTACGACTCAATATATCCGTGCACATGTATTTAATTTTCAATTATCGCATCGCTTAATGTCAGACAAGTCTATGGATTCGTCCACTTCGCTTTGGAAGCTGTGCACTTTGTATCTCTTCGACTTGACGTCGGCTATCTTACGATAGATGTCCATGCCGTCGTCCAAGAATGTATGAACACCTTCTCTTCTCGCTAAATCGTGTGGAATGCAGCTTAAAGGTCGCCTGTTCAGGAGCCAAGGCTCTGGCGGAGGCGGCGGTGGCAGTTTCCTCGGTTTCATAGGATGAGGAGATCTATAATCGATTTCCGACGTCGTTCGATAGTCCATGCAACGGGCCATCTCTTGATCGTACATTATGTCCATTAACGTTACTTCTTTCTCCTCTTCTACCCTGCGAACAATTTTTTAATTACCTCTTCGAGAAACTCTTAACGAATAAGCAAAGAATTTTTTCAATAAAATATAATATTTAAATACTATCTAACTATTTGTACTAGTTCATAACTTTATCATGTTTAAAATTGTATATAAGCTTAAAAATGAACAGACTCGTAAGTATAATTAACATACTCCGATGCTAAAGTTTTCATATGGAACAACGTGCGTTGTGGATAAACGGTCTTGTATAAATCCTTCAATTCTATCTGCGACAGCATCTCCTGAGTGGCTGTCATTCCCGTGCAACCGATATCCGGGCCAAGTCTCTTATACGAGGATTTATGGAGATTCCCTTTTGGTGGGAATATTTCCTTGTTGTCCCTGGGGGAAGCCAGCGTTTGCATTTGCCTGAAAAATGTTCAAGACAATTGAAAATGATATAGAGATTATTCAAATTGAAACCTGATTCAAACATCATCTTAACTGTTAATCGAAATAATTATTTATTAGTTTATTCGAACATACAAGTAATTGTTCATTCGATCAAATTTTCACTTGTGACTTTCGACACTAATCACCGTTTGGACTAACGGAGTTTCTATCCGATAGTTCCTGGCGAGGGTGTTTATACGTTGCTACAACAAAGTTAGGGGACGCATTCTATCCCTTCTTCTTCTTCTTCTTCTTCGTATCAATTTGATACAATTATAAGTGCGTCGATCGCAAGAATGATTAATTAAATTTTTTAATATTATAATTGACAATTACGAGAATCACAGAGACGTATAAAAATAATATCATGTAAAACATGTTATTAGAATGATGACGTGTATTCTTTATGTTTTTTGTACTTACCAGTCGTGAACTTTTACTTTATCATTGTAAACTGCCGGCGTATGAAAAATGATCGGCTCCAAATCTTTGGCCTCGTCCTCGCAGGCTGGTAAGACCACCTGCGAGATTCAAACATTTTCTCGTAACAGTTTTTTTGTATAAAAGAGAATCTCACAAAATATAATCTCACGTCCATTCTTCCTTTCGCAAGCATGTTTTCCTTTTAGTCAATTCACGCTTTAAATATAAAGATGCGGCTATCAATTACTATCAGTAAAACAATCTATAATAAGTGGATTTAAAATGTTATTTTTAATCAAATAACTGTTATTCGACAAGATATATAAAATATTTCATATCAGGTTAAAAGAATACTATTTCTCTTTTTTTATTGAACCTCCGATACCTTCACGATTCCCTTATCGCTGAACTTCAAATTATCATTTGATAAATACGTAATAGGCGTAGCTTTCCCTTTCAAGTTTCATGTCGATTAATTTGTATGTATAAATTTATATAATATATAATGAAATATAATAATATGCAGATCGACGAACGTCGTATTTAAATTGATGAGATACTATATGAAGCGATGGGTGCTCGAGCCGAATTAAAAAAGTACATTTTGCAAAAATGTCGACAAAAAATTGTACTAGAAGAATACGAAGAGGAAGAAGAGGAGCGATTCGAACATATCGAAGAACGAGAACCTGAAGAGCTCGACGAATTACCGTTCGATGACATTCTCGCTGAGAAGCGGCGTCGATACAACGCCACAGAAGAATTCATCTACCTATTGTATAATGACGTTCTACAATATTTTATCGAAGGGTAATTACGTACATTACTCATTTCTGCATTATAAATTTACTGTACTGTGAAATATAATAGCTTCGTTAAGTATGTGAACGTAGATGGGACGGTATGTACATAAGAAAGAAACCCAGAAGAGTCGACGATGATTCTGTTAAGGAGGCATGCTACTACGATGAGAATTACGATATCAGTGATTACTATGATACCATCTCATCGAAAGGGAATAATTTAGACGAGTCCAGCAATACTGGATCTAATAAATCCGATAAATGCACGTGGAAATTAACACTGAGGGATGAATTGGCGAATATAAAGTTTATTAATAACAATAGTTATAATGGCCGAGTTAGTAGAAAAATGATGGAAGGCGAGGGAGTTTACAGGTGGAACAATGGAGCACAGTACAAAGTAATTAAATCGTTTTAACATGTTTCTAATACTACTTTCTGCTGAGTTACTCTCTATAAATATATGTGACGTGCTGTCTAATTATTTTCACAGGGAGAATTCCAACGGAATCTGATGCACGGAAAAGGTTTATTGGAATGGAACAGTATTTGTTGGTACGAGGGCGATTTTGTAAATGGATATAGACACGGCAGAGGAATCATGGTCGACAGTGAGAATCGTTACATGTATACTGGCGAATGGTTCAAAGGTAGAAGACATGGAAAGGGGTGAGTTGTCAATGCGTCATATTTCGATAAGGATCGTGAAAGAAAAATTCCAACATTTGTTTCCAGTGTACAATTTAAGATAGAGAGATTCTTAAACTAGATATAATAATAGTAATGCATGATCGCTGCTTTGGATTATGTTTATTCAAGGATCTCGAAATGAAAATTCTAAGATGCATTTCTATTAATTTATTAATCATAATTGTGCATTTCTACAATAAATTAGACTCGAAAATGCTTAATGCGTGATCGATGCTTTAGATCATGTTTGGTCAAGGATAGCGAAATAAAAATGCCGAATTTCATTTCCATTAATTTATTAATCAGAATTTAGGCGACATACATTAAATTATTGATAGATCGATGTACAATATGAGATACAGAAATTCTAATCTAGACTTTAGTATTTCGCTGAAGAATTGCACTTCGAAAATAGGGATTAGTCATTTGGTCAAGGAACATGAAATAAAAATGCAAAGATTCATTTCCATTAATTTATTAATCAGAATTATTCATTTTTACAATAAATTAGAGACAGAGAATAAATTAGACACAGGGGAAATTGATTTCAATAGATGTTCATATAGACAATGTTATGTTTTCGTTTTCCGCTTCGATAGTTTCATTGAACTAAGTAATGTTTGATCGCTGCTTTGAATTATATTTATTCAAGGATAGCGAAATAGAAATTCTAAGATGCATTTCTATTAATTTATTAATCAGAAATATTCACTTTTACAATAAATTAGATTCTAAAGAGATGATATTGATTTCAATAGCAATCCGGCTCGAATATTAATTTCAAGCAGCTACTAAGTAGGATTAATGGAATAAGGAAGAATTGTGAAATAAAAATGCAAAGATTCATTTTCATTAATTTATTAATCAAAAATCAATAGAGTTATTTTCTTTATTTCGTCGTAACATTCATAGCACATTGTATTGATAGAGACCAACATACTTTACAATATTTTACAATTTGAGATAGAGAGATTCTTAAAATAAATCGTAGTTCTTCGCTTGGTAGCGTTTCCAAAGACTTTGCAAACGCTTCCAACCCAGGTCTCACCGCGTGGAGGTGACTACGTTCGAGACCCGGGGCAGTGGACAATACCCACTGCCCCACACACCGCACACGCATACACGCCGCACGCAAATGCGTCTTGCGCTAGTTTGTAAGGTGAACGCTCTTCTCTCTTCGCTCTTCTCTCTTCGTTTTTCTCTCTTCGATCTTCTCTCTTCGGACTCCTCTCTTCGGACTCCTCTCTCGTGTCTTGTAATTTTTGAAAATATATGACGATGATCTCGTTCATGCCTTCCTTCCTTCCATCCTTTCTGACTGCGTTCCCTCCTGCCCGTCAACTTTCCTTCCTGCCCGTCAACTTTCCTTCCTGTCCGCCACCCTTCCTTCCTTCCTTCCTATCATCCTTCCTGCCATCCTCCTGCCTCCCCTTGTAAATTACCACTCTATAGTACGAAGTTAATATGGGAGGAGAATTGATACGATTACGAACTATTGACTCTAACTATTGACTCTAACTATTGACTCTAACAATTGATTAAAATTTGAAACAAAACTAAGCAAAAAGAGGCCAAATTTTACTTGAGTAGCCAGAGTTCGAGCCAAGCAGGACCCTGCACAAGGATGACCATACCTCTGCGGAGAGTGCTCTGACCACGACCAATCCGTCTCACGGAGCTTACGCACTGCGCATGGGAATGGAACAGAAACAGCTCCTCGACTTACGGGGCAGGCCATCCAAGATACAGGATCCTACTCTTTTCTCCCCCCGGTACACAAGCAAAATCTGGTTGGGGAACTACTATTCGCGACGCGGGTATACTAAAACGCGAGCAAAATTAATTGATCGATACGAGAGA